CCTATCCTATCCTATCCTATTCTATTCTATATTCTATTCTAATCTATTCGATTCTATTCTAATCTACTTTGAAAATGTTTTGAACTTTCTTAAGGCAGCGGGAGCTATAAAGCTCTTCTGAAGTGGGGAGAGGGCAGCCAATGATCCTCTGGGCAATGACATTAACCCTCTGGTGCACTGTCCTATCTGCCCCTGTGCAACTGGCAAACCATACGGAGGTGCAGTAAGTTAAGATACTCTCTATGGTGCAGCGGTAGAAGGTCCCCAGCAGTTTTTCATTCAGTTGTTGTTTTCTGAGAAGCCTCAGGTAGTATAATCTCTGCTGGGCCCTTTTGACCAGGGCTGCAATGTGAGCATTCCAGGTCAGGTCCTCTTTTATGGTAACACCCAGAAACTTAACACTTGCTCCACTCGGTCTCCACTGATAAGCAAGGGCTGTCTGTCTAATCTGTTCCTTCTTATATATACCAAAAGATATATTTTGTTCTTTTTCCAAAACCAAAAGCTTGGCTTTTCTGCAGAGATATTTTCAGAGCAAAACAGAGGAGAGAGGAGGAGGAGGAAGGAGGAAAAAGAACTTACCTGCAACAGGTGTCCATGAGTGGCAACCAGAAAGGAGTTCTTTTATTTTTGGTAATATAAAGAATGAGTACAACTATCACGATGGCAAGAGCTATAAACACAAATGCCAGGATCCAGTTTCGGGCAGCCACATTGTCTGGAGAAAGGAAAGAAAGGAGAAAGAAGCTTCTGTGTGAGCCTTCTTCATTTTTTTCTGAAGGACAGGCGTTTTACTCTGGAGACTTACCGTTGTATGTAGGTCCACTGTCTATACTGCCCCCATATCCAGGAGAATCACAGTAGGGAGGAGCCCAATCCGAACTGCAATGGCAATTTTTATTGCTGTTGCACACCTGTGTGAGAGAAAGAAATGTAATATTTAGGCGAACTCAAGTGACAGAGCAAATGCCTTCAGAACTTGTGGGAGTTTCCCTCTATGGAAGCTTTCAAGAAGAGACTGGACTGCCATCTGTCAGGAATGGTGTAGG